ATTGTAAGAGATTTCCCTAAAATTGGTCTTGATTTATAAAAGATTACATACCGTTTTCCCCACCTAAGGTCTCTACCGTTAAATTGAAATTCAAACGTCTAGATACTCAAAGTGAATGACGTTTAATCTCGCTAATGAATATTTTGTTAAAATAAAATTATTTTTTTTGAGGACGATCAAGGAGAACATTTACAAATTCCTTTATATATATATATATATATATATATATATATATATATATATATACATACGTGTGTGTGTATTTAGGCAGCAATCCTTCTTTCATGCACATTTCATTGAATACGATAAGGTGCTTTTATTTAGTTTTTTATACAATTTCTCATGCGATCTAATAATTTTTTTTTTCTTTTCGGATGATAAATTCTATAAAAATTAACCGAATGTTCTTTTTATCCGAGCGCTTTTGGCTATACATTAAGTCATTTCCAAGGATTAAATATTTTAACTGTTAAATAAAAAATAGTTTATGTATGTTTTATAAAATGTTTTCATTTTTCAAAACACGGTCAAGATATTGTGTACTTGTTCAAAGTTAATATTATTAAGTGTTGTTTTTTTTTTGTTTTTATTAATGAGGTTTTCATTATTTTTAGCCTTTTTTTTGCATGTAGATGATGCTATTATATTAGTATTGTCAAAAAGTATGTTACGAATAGTGTCCAGTAGGTCTCCATGAATATTTAAATGAGATCTAATTGAGCTATGGTCAGAAAGGTGTAGAGTGAGTCTGCGTGTCAAATATCTAGTTATTTCATTTGCCTAACCATATATATATATATATATATATATATATATATATATATATATATATATAGGGTTAGGTAAATGAAATAACTAGATATTTGCAGCCGTATACGCGCGTGCTGGCGTGCATACGTTGGTAAGCAAATAAATAATGACGAAATTGCCAAGAGGTGTGTATACCTACGTTTGGTGTGCGACGAAATTTACGTTGGTTACCCAACTCGTCGGCCACAAGATAGAGCTTATTCTTTATTAAAAGAAAAGTATGCTTTTTAAATAAACAATACGCTATATTTTGTGCCCAATGATTTGTGTAACCAACGAAACTTTACTCGCACGCCAAACGAGTATGGTGCAATCTTTATGGTCTAAAGGATGAAGCAATTAGGCCCTCTCAATGTAGCAATGCATTAAAACTATCATTATAATAGCACAACCCGCTCGAAGTATAATAATAGTGCTATAATTTATATTAATAATAAATAAGGTTTCTTCATCAACAGTAGCAAAAAAAAACTATATATATATATATATATATATATATATATATATATATTTAATTTAAAGAAAAACAGACCACTTTAAGGCTCCATTGTACTAGTTTATTTCACCAGAGACCTTTTAAAAGTACCTTGGATCATCAGACATCACTTCCAAAAAGATGAAACATATATATATATATATATATATATATATATATATATATATATATATATATATATACTACTTGCGACTAGACATCTGAAATTCCACAAGCTAGGATCGAAACCCAACTGAATTGGTGCCAGTCAGAGATTCTACCAATAAAATATCCTCACGCGTTAGATATATTTATATATATATTTATATATATATATATATGTATATATATATATATATATATATATATATATATATATATATATATATATATATATATATATATATATATATATATATATATATATATATATATATATATATATATATATATATATATATATATATATATATATATGTATATATATATATATATATATATATATATATATATATGTATATATATATATATATATATATATATATATATATGTATATATATATATATATATATATATATATATATATATATATATATATATATATATATATATATATGTATATATATATATATATATATATATATATATATATATATATATATATATATATATATATATATATGTATATATATATATATATATATATGTATATATATATATATATATATATATATATATATATATATATATATATATATATATATATATATATATATATATATATATATATATATATATATATATATATATATATATATAGTTCCCTTAAACAAGGAATTTATTTTTCGAGTTATGAAAGGGTGAAAATGGAGAATCACCAGCATAGATAGATAGATAGATAGATAGATAGATAGATAGATAGGGCAAACATGTATACACTGTATGATAGTTAACAATAAACATCCGTCCCACACCCTACCAGTGCTGGTCAAGACCCTTTTAGGCAGTAGCACTTCAATTTCCTTCACACCCAACTCTTAACCTGTCGTTGTCAGGCTTAAGAGACATAGACTGGGTTAGCGGGGCGCAAGTGACAGATCGTCGCTTTGTGAAAGCTAGGCCTGCTGGGCAAATAGATGGCGCGTGCAAGGGAATGCGGGCGGCAGTTGGATGTCGATGAAGCAGCCTCGATCCTTGTAGAAGCAGACAAACGGCCGATGTTTCACATAGTCGAAATGAGATCACATCGCGCGGGCGTGCAGTGAGATATATTGCCGTGAATCACGAATTTTACCGTTTCTCGTATCGCAAATAACTATAAAGAAATATGTTTTCCTTCGGTTTAATTTTTTTTTCCCATTAGTTTCCATGTTACTTTAAAATGATCACGCGAATTTCATTTAACATCACTAATCAAAAGAAATTTCCAGACTGGAAAATATTGACTTTATCCACACAAGACGATCTATATATTCCTTCATACGTCTATACATACAAAAATACTCATTAATTTAAGTCGGAAAAGGCATTCTTTTAATGAGGATATTAAATACTTCTCTTTTTACGATGGTATGAATAATTTCGAGCCTAACCTTCTTTCTCTCTCCATCTATATATATATATATATATATATATATATATATATGCATAAATACATACATGCATATTTATATATATATATGCATAAATACATACATGCATATTTATATATATATGCATAAATACATACATGCATATATATATATATATATATGCATAAATACATATGCATATATATATATGCATAAATACATACATGTGTATATATATATATATATATGCATAAATACATACATGCATATATATATATATATATGCATAAATACATACATATATATATATATATATAAATACATACATGCATATATATATATATATGCATAAATACATATCATTCATATTTATATATATATGCATAAATACATACATTCATATTTATATATATATATGCATAAATACATACATTCATATTTATATATATATATATAAATACATACATTCATATATATATATATATATATATATATATGCATAAATACATATATATTTATATATATATATGCATAAATACATACATTCATATTTATATATATATATATAATACATATATTCATATATATATATATATATATATATATATATATATATATATATATATATATAACCACATATATATATATATATATATATATATATATATATATACACACACATTTATATATGCACATATGAATTGGCATCAAATGCAGATCAAATATGGATCGCAATGCCTACGGAATGATAGGATAAGAACAATTTGGAAAGGTTTATAAATCTAACCTGTTTCGCTTTCATTAAAGCTTCATCAGGGAATGAGACATGAAGAAAACATTCCGGTATTTTTTATTCAATTTTGAAAAAATAAACAATAACAGAAATTTTTATCTTTATTTTTTTTCTCCATATCTCATTCTCAGACGAAGCTTTAATAAAAGCGAAACATGTTAAATTTATAAACCTTTCCTATTTTTCCTTATCCCATTATATATATATATATATATGTGTGTGTGTGTGTGTGTGTGTGTGTGTGTCTGAACTGGTATCAGATCTGGATCAAATATGGATTTGAAACCGACAGAATAATAAGATATAAAAAAATAGGGACCATTTATAAATCTAACATGTTTCGCTTTTATTAAAGCTTCATTGAATAATGAGATATGGATTAATTTTTTTGCTCTTTTTATATTTCTGTTTGATTTGAATTGGTTAAGCAGACTTCATGCGCATTTGAATAATTAAGCAGCGTTTGTGTGTATAATTTATGTGTGCATCATAATTCTAGTTCGTCTATCTTAGATTCGGATGATAATGTATTTATTCGTGTGTATGTATTTAGTAGACATTAATTATATTTGTAGGTTGTCCGTATGTTGACTGGGGACGTTTTTTGTCAACACGTGGTAGCTGAATCTTTAATAAAAGTTAACAAACTCGTTAGATTTCTAAATGTTTCTTATTTGTCCTTTATCTTATATATATATATATATATATATATATATATATATATATATATATATATGGAAATGATGACACAAAAGTGGAAGAGCTTATAAACAACGGGTTTAACCGTTCACTTTGTCTCATTACTTCCACATTTTTTCGAATGCTTTTATGCATCCTCGAAAAACAAACACAATCAACCCACATCACAAACACGCAGGCAGACACGCTCACTCACACACATACATATAAGATAACGATATATATTTTTATATGTCAAGAACAGTATTGGGGAAATTGTATGACAAAGTGGAAAAAGTTTACTTGTGACAACTACTAACAAAAGTGATGGAAAGAAAAAGAAAAACACTATAAATGAATTCGGATAGATAAAAAAATTATTAAAATTATTATTGAATCATATATATATATATATATATATATATATATATATATATATATATATATATATATATTTTTTCTTTAATTATTTTATTTTATATTTCCTTTTATTTCATCAATTTAATTTAATTTTTTTATTTTTAACGTAAATCTTAAAACTCAAATTTATTCTATACTAAACAGGTGAAAATATTAACTAATTTAATTTTATTCATTTTTCCGTTGTTCCTAAATCTGCTACTCTCAAAACCTTTCTTACACACACACACACATATATATATATATAATCTCTCAAAATATTCTTGCATGATAGATAGATAGATAGATAGATAGATAGATAGATAGATAGATAGATAGATAGATAGATAGATGAAAATTACATCCTTCTATCTTTACAATTACCTCTCTGTGAAAGGTAATTCACCAGTTTCTTAACAAATTACAATTTTTATATCTATTGAAATTGTGCAACCTTATATATTGGTGTTTTTGTTTTCTTAATAATAATCTTAGAATTTTCATCAGTACTTGATTTGCTTAATTTTTGAACAAGAATTAATACTAATTGTTGCCTGAACGTTTTATACTCGCATTTAATAAACAGTAAAGAAAGACATTTCAATATAACTGAAATTTGCACAATTGGTAGAAACTTTGTATATAGCAGAAAATAACGTATTTTTTATTTTAAGTTTTTCTTTTTTTTTTTGACTTACTTAATCTACACTAACGGCACTAGTGGAGGTGTTTAAGATTTAGTCAAAGTTGCTTAAAATCGAGTTATTTATTTATTTCTCTATTCTATCCATCTTCAATTTTAACCTCTACAATTTTAATTTCTCCATTTTTTTTCTTTTACCAACTTTACTTTCTTTAATTTCTCTTTACAAAAATTATTTCTCCAATCGAATTGTTTATTGAAAATATCGTGTACTCTTCAACAGAGAAATATATACACAAACATTTTATGAACAACCAATAAGCTTATAACATTATAAAAGACTTTTTCTTCGAAAACACAATAAATATTTAAAATGTAATTTAAATAATAATAGCTAATTCTTCTTAAACTTTAAATTAACATGCTACTATTAACGCTAAATGGCACTAAAATATCTTAAATTATTTCCTCGAGAAGCAAAATACAGCAATAAAGAATGTGCAATTATTCGATTCAATAAAGATTCCTATTTAATACTTGACACATTTGCTAAATTTATCTCACTTTCAAAACTAAAATTCAAGGCTCGAAAACCACTCAAGCTAGACTGGTACAATCAATAAAATATTAATGTTAAGTGTGGTGCTGTAGGCCCGGTGGAGTAATGGATAGATGCTCGGATTTGAGGAATCGGAGTGCCGAGTTCGAATTCCAGCAAAATTATATTCACTTAATTGCTAAAAGCAAAAGGAATTCTCTTCTCCTCTTCTTCGTAAATAGAAGAACAGACCAGATTCTGTAGCATTGGGTGGCAACAGTTCAACCTCAGAAAAAAATGGCAACCTACTGCGGGAATAAATCTGCTTTGTCAGCCTTGTATTGAAAGGTACATGATCGCCTAAGCGTGTATCACGAATGGCACGTAACTGACGGACTGGGGTGCGTGCTATGAATGAAAAAAAACAATGGCAAGAATGAAGATTAGCAGGATCAGAGTAATTATGATTGACCCCTGATGGATTGATTGAATTGTTTTTTACGATTTATCAACCCTTTGTTGGTCATATTATTTTGTGATTGTTAGAATAATTCTGTTATTTTTTCATGAGTGAATATTTATTTTACAATCGTTATGAGATCACAATGATTTTTTCAACCGATTTCTTTACATCCACTTACGTGCAAATACCCTTGGGAAATTATCAATCCGTCGGTTCTCTTCCCAGCATCTCCAGCTATGGGTTAAATAGTTGGAGCTTAGACTGTTTTATTTAACCTATAGAACCGGGGAAGCTTGGGAGAGAAGAGATGGATTCATACTTTTTTACAAGGGTATTTGCACGTAGAGGACGCACGGTGGGGGTAATGTATAGTGGCTCAGGAAGAGCCGAGTTCGAATTCCAGTCGAATCCATGACATTCACTTACGTGCTAATACCCTTGGGAAATGTATGGAGATATGAATCCTCTTCTTCTTCACCCAGCAGGTAAGTAGCCTGGATTATTGGCCACAGGACTAGGAGAAAACTTTGAATTCACACCGGCCTGGAGAGGCTATCTTGCCCGAGAAACACCACGTATACGGCGACTGAAGTACATATGGTGCCCCTATGATGGGTCAGGGGATTCGCAATGGATTGATTTGCACTTAAGCGAATGTAATGAACTTGACTAGAGATTAATCCATGACTTGAAGAGGTTAATTTTTTTCTATTAAGTAATCACACGGTAGGTTGTTTCACAATGTCGCAGTTCTTGGGTGGGGGTAAAAAAACGATGAGGGGAACTTTCTTATTATTATTGGAACAGGGAGAATGTGAAAAAAAATCGAAAATGACAAAGCGAATCCTACCTGCAAATGTCCGAACTGGTGAGACAAGAAAGTGAAGCTAATCTAAATATTTTCCAAGCAAATAGCGATAGTGTAACGATAGGCTTGCAACGTTGTTTCTGATAGAAGGATCTTGCATAGTATTAAACAAGTCATCACCTACAAAACAATGTAAAGATTGTAAGATTGAAAAATAAAGACAGTACAGCTCCAGGCGAGAAATGGCGAAATACTCTAATTTTTGGTTTAATATGACACTTATAAAGGTAAAGAAAGCCAAAAAAAAAAAACAAATAATTCATAGGCAATAGAATGGCATTGGTAAAGGTAATATTAACTGTTTCTTATGAGGAAATTCGGCATTCGTTGACCTAATAGCCCGTACTACGCTAGGTTGAAATTTATAGAATCCTTCTCTTAAGACAATTTTTCGGGGAAATAGGTTTCTCAAGTCTAGTAGATGTTATAGCTCTTTTTAGTATTGATGAGGACTTCCCAAAGATTTGCTTCAAACAGTATGCAATACTAACATCTTGATTATATCATTATTTACTTTTCGAGTTACATATGGCATCCATTTTAGTTGTTGGTGTTGTTGAAAGTCCTTAAGTCGCGAGGTTTCTGTTTTTTGGTAAAATTATTTCTTCGCGATTCTGTAATGCCAGTTACCAAGATTCATAAAGGACGAAATGCGTGGGCTAAGGTAAGTTTTCCTTTTGTCTTTATTCATATATATATATATATATATATATATATATATATATATATATATATGTATATATATGTATGTATAGAATCATTTTATATATATAATTATAATATGAATATAATATAAATGAAGATTGCATTCTGAATGAAACTGCGAGTCATGCTGGCGTGAAGGAGAATATGTATAATTAGGAATATATATATCTAAAAGTGAACATAGAAGTCAAAACTTAGAGGCGACAGTCTGTTTCAAGCTAGATGCAATCGTCAGGCCATCTAGCATGAAACAGACTGTCGCCTCTAAGTCCACTTTTATATTTACATAATCAACAATAAATTAAATAAATTAAATAATCAAAAGTAATTAGTAAAAAGTTAACAAACAATACTATACAATAGCTACAAATAACCGCATTCACGTAGACAATTATTTTTATTCAATGGCTTCTAAAAGTGAAATATAACCGTTTCTGTCTACTCAATAACAGTTAAGATAATACAACAGACTTGCTAACAAATAATGCATCATAAACAAATATATATAAAGAATCAAATCAAAACAAAACATATATGGCCTAAAGATGGCATTCAAGCATGAAACAGACTGTCACCACTGGGTGTTGAACTTACTGTCCACATTTATATTAACATACAATCTATACGATCTATCACCTCAAACCATAAATATAGCAAAACTTAAAACTATAATTTTATCATATATATATATATATATATATATATATATATATATATATATATATATATATAATAAAAAGGAAAACCTATTTTAGCTTCCTCTGAGGCACTCTATCAAGGCAAAAGCAAGGTTTTTAATCTGTAACAAATAATTACATATAAGGAAAAATTGTTATAATTTTTTTTTAAATTTCCGATTTAAGAACCGTCATAAATATACATTATGTTAAGCAAAAAGCCTAGGCAATCTCTCTCTTATATATATATATATATATATATATATATATATATATATATATATATATATATACGCGCACACACACACATATATATATAGTTTTCGGACTGTTCTCATCTTTATTGCTATATTCACAACAATGATGAGAACGACAGTCCGAATGTAAATAGTGTAAATAATTATAATACCTCATCTCAGAAGTAATGACAGATATATATAAAAGTGGACATTAAAGTCACCACCCAGCGAAGACAGTCTGTTTCACCATTATACGCCATCGTCAGACCAGGTATATGCTTGAATCAAACTGCCGCCGTATCGTGTTGACTTCAATGTCTACTTTTATATTTACATACGCTGCTACTGAGCACTTCAAGCCATATAAATAGCATGTTTAATCATATATATATATATATATATATATATATATATATGCAAACTTTGTTGGTATCTGCCTTGTTAGACCCTACCATTATCAACATGTACGATTTGAATGTGCGAGATTTCCAGTATATTTATTCTTATATTTTATTATTTCCTTAAAGTTAATCAGTTTATTAAAACAAACCATTACAAATCACTGTTATCTTTAAAGACTTTAAATAAAGACAAAATCTGTTCGGCATAAAACAAAAATAATAGATTCTAAAAAATATCGAAATACATCTAGCTTTTTGCTTTTCTTTATTTATCTTCGGTCAGTGTTTTTTTTTCTTTTTTTGGGGGGGGGGGGTCCGGAGAATGCAGTACGTGGTAAAGACAGGATCCTCTCCCGCCAACTTCAACTCCCGAAAATATTGGATCAGGGAAGTAGGAACATCATAGTCATAAAAAGAGACGTCCAAGCCTGACATATTTGTCAATGAGAGAAAGGAATGGGAGGAAAATACAAACAAGGCCGCACGGCGAAGACCCGCCTTTGCCATCTGTGGACAGCAACATAGTCCTTTGGATGATTATCATTCGTGCGTTACTAGAGGGCGCTACTTAAAAACAGCGCTAGTCGGAAAGTAAAGGTTGCTGTCGGCGGTGAATGTGATGACAATTAGAATGATTAAAGAATAACAAATAAATAAAGGTTTGATTAGGAAATTAAATAAAGATGGGGAAGACAAAGAAAAAAAAGCAAGCAGTTCAGTGAAGCCTTGAGAGAAGGAAAAGTAGAGAACAAAAGAGTGGAAGAGAGTAAGGAGAAAAGGGAGGAAGAAAAGATAGAATAAACGGAAAGGGATCAGAAATAGAGAAGAAAGAAAGAAAGAAAGAAAGAAAGAAAGAAAGAAAGAAAGAAAGAGGAACGGAATAGAAAGATAGAAGTGAACTAGAAAAGAAAAAAAAAAAGTATTTCCCTCCAAAGAAAAAGAGAACGTAATTGTTAATAAAAGAAAAGTCACTGACAAAATAGTTTAAAAGAAGAAAAAAAAATGTTTCAATAAATAATGATTTAATATGGATTAATCTTTCAGGATTAATTTATATCTCTCACCAATTCCTGACTTGCGAAATCGTTTTGAATGAGGAACAAATCTCACTGAGTGCCAGCACTCAGTCTGGTGTATTCATCCGGATGCGTTACGCTGACGATGTGTGCCACAAAACACCCCCGAAGTACCTGCCTCGTTTAGTCCTCATAATCGTCACACACAGTGCTAGAAAAAACAACACCATAAAAAAATCTTAGTATACAGTAATAAATCTGACTTTCTTGTGTTGTCTCTGAGAATAAGTGATCAGAGATTTATACGAGATACAGAGGGATTCGCTATTCCCTAAATAACAAGAGAAGTTCGTTATTACATGGCGTTTTAATCAACGTCTAAATGAGTTCAGTGAGTGCACATAAAGATAGGGTTGGAATCAAAGTTCGTAGATTGTTTCAATAGATTGGAATGTGTGACTTCGTTTAACCCGTGACTAAAATTCAATACACACACACAAACATGCATAAGTATATATCATTAAAAACGACAGACAAGGTACTACGGTTAAGCTTTTTATTTAATTTTTCTTTTGTTCTGACAAGAGCTTTCTTTTTTGGACAAAGGGTGTGTAAGAACTGTCCAAATGTTTTATATTTCCGAGCGCTTTCGGCTATACCTCTAGCCATTATCAAGAATGATTCGATTTTTTTCAGCTTACTTGGGTGTGTGATTTCTGTGTATGTCAGTGTGTGGTAGGGATGTTTTTAATTTCCGAATACGGTTAGCACATTGTGGCTTTGTTCGTAGTTAATATTGTTAAGAGTTGGCTTTTTCTTACACATCCTTTGTCCAGAAAAGAAAGCTCTCGTTAGAACACAAGAAAAATTAAATAAAAAGCTTAACCGTAGTACCTTGTTTGTCGTTTTAATTAAACATGCATAAAGGAAGGAATGCTGCCTAAATATACAACTATCAAATATATATATATATATATATATTAGGCAGCATATTTTCATTCAAGCATGTTTGGTTAAATAATTTAGACCTATTATGTCTACTTATTTTCTTTTTAATTCTCTCAAGTCCACGAATTAATTGTAAAAATTGATTAAAAAAAATCCTAAATTTTCTTTCAAATAATTTTTATTATCCCCTGAAGACGGTCTCAGATGAGATTGAAAATACTTTGGAAAATTAAATTATTTGAAAGAAAATTTTGGAATTTTTCTTAATCAATTTTCTACAGTCAGCAAGAAATTAATTCGGGGACTTGAAAGGATTAAAACTAAAATAAATAGACGTAATACGTTTAAATTATTTAGCCAAACATGACTGAACATTATATATATATATATATATATATATATATATATATATATATATTATGCAGGTTCAAATCTTGTCAGGGCATTTTCCTAATAATAAAATTTAATAATTTTAATAAAATTTCTCAAATTTGTTCAGGCCCATATAGAATTTTAATTAAACAGAACGTTTTTCACAAACATGGGTATCTTCTAAAAATTATGTTTGAAGCAATAAAAGCATAAACGTGTTCAAACATATTCTGAAGGTGTATCTCAATACATGTTAGGCTGATTGCGAATTTTGAATAAGTTTGCGCTTAAAGTGGAAATAGATGAAATTAAAAAATAGTCGAGTGAGTACAGAAAAATATAGCGTTGAAACTAAAGTTCATCGCATTTTCAATAGATTGGAACGCTTGATTTCGTTTCACACGTGACTGAAATTATTATATATATATATATATATATATATATATATATATATATATATATATATATACATATATATATATATTTACTTATTTTTTGGATTCTAAAACAAAAAATGTTAAAAAATCGTTACACAATTACAATTATTTTAAACACAACAAATGTGTCTCCTCAGGCGATGTTAAGCTACTGGCGACGAAAAAAAAAAAAGAATAAAAAGAAAAGAAAATATTTTTCGGTGAAAAAAAAAAAAGGGGGATCGTTGCCCGAGATGACACAGGGGAACAGAATGTCTTATAAGTGATTAGACAAGCGCAGTACTAAATTGGTGACAAGAACTCCTCAATTCACAGTTTAATTGGGTAGACGTAACCGTAAGTTCTGTGCTCTGTTTTCGCACTTCTCGTTTGTAGAACTCTCTTCATACTTTCCAGCTAACCTTGATCTTCAAAAATATAAATGCAATGTCAGACGTTATCTGCCATCATCTTGATTACTCTTCTGTTGTTCTCGCTCCTTAATAATGTTTCCTTTTTTTACTTATTCTTTCACACCCAGTAAACCCCTTGTGTCTTAGTGGCTTTACTGCCTTGTATGAGGTGATATGATTAAAAAATAAACGATAAATCTAAATACTATTAACCATGTTTGCCGTAGTCTTTGAATATAGAATCCAGTGCAGTACGTAATGTGTTGAACAACGCCCATATCACTAGCAGCAGCTGTTCAATAATTCTTTAGGTCTTTGATATCAGAGGTTGGCAGTGAATATTCGGAGGAAAAACAAAATGGCTGCCTTTACACACGTCGGATTAAATATTTTGAGCTTTCTGATTGGTTAACCCTTCTCTTGATGGACTATAAAATGAGTCAGCTCATTTTGGCTGGCTCACTAGTACCACACTACCCATAAATTCTAACATATACAAATATCTAACATATTGTTTTTGAAATTCGCTTAAAAACGCCACGAAATTTTATTCTGAGCTGATATAAAAAGAAGTAAGGCAAAGTTACAGTTGCTTACCGAATTTATTTTAATATACCATGAAATGATCATCACGGAACTAGAAAATACTATAATTTATTATTGGCGCACATAATCTTAGCAATATAAGGTACAAGAATGACACTGTATGGATGCCAAACTCGAAAAGAAAACTTGAAGACCTTTTAAACAAGATAATAAAAGAAAACAATAAAAAGCGCTGTTGACTATGAAAAGACAAAATTGATAGTTGTTATGTGAGATACATATTAGTGGTGCTAAAACCAATCTATCTATAGCTGGCCACTCGTATTCGAGGATGCCCGTCTATTAAGGCAGATAGACAATCCCTATAACAGATGCTTGCTCAGGGACATTTTAGTTTGTTCAACACCCACTTGTGGTTTATACTGCAACTATGCTGAGCAGTTTCTGGGAAAGAGCGCGTCATCTAGCATGATCAACAATCTGATCATGGCCAGCACACTCAAACCCTCGCCACGACGACTGACTTTATACAGCAATCGACGCCCCCACAAAATTCACCATAAGGCTTGGGTCAACCCGAAGTATGGTTTTCAGGCACTTTCCAAAGGTACCGCACGTTAGGCCGATAACACCCTTCCTGACAAATCGACCCTGGTGTGATTCGAACCCGGGTCTCACGGTCAGAAAACGAACGTTAACTATTTGACCACTAACCATCGTAGGTAGTGCAATAACAGAAGAAATTCGGAGGTGCATAAGAGCAGCGACATATGACTTACAGAAACTAAAACATTAAGCGATAGAAAAGTTTCGTAAGATACACGGTGCTGAATTCGCAGAATTCAGCACCGTGTATCTTACGAAACTCAAGACCAATTCAATGCTCACATGCCAAAGCATGTGAGCATTGAATTGGTCTTAAGGAAAATAGGAATTACAAAAAAAAAAAAAAAACGCTTGAAATTTCCGGGAGTTTTAATGAGGAAAGAGGGTTTGGAAAATTTAACATTCACAGGGCACATTGAAAAATGGTGGAGTCGATTGAAACAGTAATTAACCTACCTGAAGGCTCTAAATAAACAGATGGGAGAACAAGAAGAAATAACTATAGTAAGTACGAACATTTAAATATCTAGGAAGTGTTTTAGCAGTGGCTTGAAAATACGACACCGAAATCCGAAGGCGCATTGAAAGAGCAAAAGTAGTCTTCCAGAAGCTAAACAAAGTATTAAGAAAGAGGAAAATTTTTTAGAAACAAAGAAAAAAGTACTAAACTGTTATGTAATATCAGTTTTCCTCTGTGGCAGTGAATGTTGGATATTCATATGACAGATGTAGAAGACATTTAAGGCGACAAAAATGTGATTCGACAGATGGACACGAGGAATATTATGGACAGAATAAGTGAGTAATGAAGGCGGTTTAAAGAAAACGCAAACAAAAAAACAACTTATATTTAGAATCCGAAAGAAAAAGTGGAAATATTATAGACACATAATAAGGAAAGATGCTTGTAAAATTTAACACACACAGTACATAGTGAAAGCAGAAGAAGCAGAAAAATGCAGTGAGTCACCTACCTAATGGGCTTGGGTGACAGAAAAGGGGTTAAGAGGGATATTGAAAAGAACTATAAAATATACGATGAAGTGTAAAGTCATGATCGCTTGCCTCCTGAAGAGACACTATATAGAAAGAAAAAAAGAATGGGTAAACGTTGCTTAGTGCTGGAAGAGATAGGAAATCGTTAACAGACATCATCGACTGCGTCCAGAATTGACATAATAAAACACAATGAAATGGTGATTTTCTATGCGTAGCTTAGATGTGGTACAAGGTGGAAAGTATGGAGCACCCAGTGAAGCTCGAACTCAGTCCCCAATATTAATTGATCTAGTGAAACAAGCTTGCTATTTAACCACGTCGAAGTACACAACATGGGTTTTAAGGCCGAAAGAGAGGAGCACTCACTGAGAATCGAACTCACTATTCGGTTGTAATTGAACTAGCGAGACAAGCTTGTTAACTATTACACCACATCGAAGCGTCCAAAATGATTTTTTAGACCGAAAATGTGGAGCATTCGGTGAGGATCGAACTCTCTGCTAAGTTGTAATTGATTTAGCTAGACACGCTTGCTAACTGTTACACCACGCCGATGTGCCCAAAATGATTTTTAAAGCCGAGATAATCGATCAAGCGAGATAAGCTTGTTAAACATTACACTGCGTTTTCAGTTCGACGTGGTGTAATGGTCAGCAAGCCTGTTTCGCAAAATCAGTTACGACAAAATAGTAAGTTTGATCTTCAGCCGGCGTTACATACTTTCGGCCTTGCGCCATATCTAAGCTAAGTTTAGAAAAAATTGGGCACTTCGACGTGTAGTAGTAGTTATAGTCTCGCAAGATCAATTACAACTGAATAGTGAGTATGCCTTTCACTGTGTGCCCCCATACTTTCGGCCTTCTTCCACACGCGAGCTTCGCTTAAAAATCGCCATTACATCACGTTGAATTTCCCAAAGAAGAAATGAAATGAATGCATGTGTAAGAAGTTAATGCTGCTGTAGGAGAGGCAGCTTTTTGATTTTTTTTTTTTCTGCAAAATTAGTGAATAATTAATGCAGTGGAAACTTCACTCAATTTAGATTGTTCATGTGCTTGTCTATGTGTGCCTGAAAAGAGTCTAGGCCGAAACAAATTCCAAATACGGTGTAACCCGGATATAAGAGACCCGGTGTGATTCGAACCCGGGTCTCACGGTCAGAAAACGAACGTTAACTATTTGACCACTAACCATCGTAGGTAGACCCGGATATAAGAGAGATTTTCTCTGTTCCCAAAATGTTCCCATACTTACCTAAACAAAATAGACCAAACCCGGATATAAGAGAAACCCGGATATAAGAGACTTCTTCTCCAGTCCCGACAACTCTCTTATATCCGGGTTACACTGTAGTAATTTTCAACTTGGTTTTACTGAAATTTCGTATTAATCGTTTAATTTCTTTATTTTCATTGTTTTTTATTAATTGCTTTGATAGTTATTGTTTTTTGATCGTTATTTTTAGGACTTTTGTTTTTATAAATTTTCATTATTTATTGATTTTTTTATGTATTTCCAATGCGTGCATCTGTATTTTAATTACCGTATTTGACGGCGCATAAGACGCACGGGTGTATAAGACGCATCCCAATTTCAAAATTTGTAAAAGTATTTCTGGATTGTATCTTGGATTGTATATTTAACAACGTCTACCGCAAACTTTTAACTTAATAATTCAATATTCATGGGAGACTATATTTAAGGGTCGTTCGTGAAAGTAATTTACACTATAACCATCAATCGCAAAAAAAAAAAAAAAAAAAAAAACTCATTTCTAAATTTTTGGGGGTCTGCTGTGTAATCCTAGAATAAGTAAATGCTACTTTTGAATCATACGTGGTTTTGTTGCTACTTTGCGTGAAAGAGAATGTTCCTATTTACCAGTTTTCCCCATGGGAATAGGTAAACTCCAGAAATATCATTATCCTCATCACAAAAGCAAAGTCTAAAAGAAATATTAGGCATTTTTCATACTTTAAAGGTGTAAGCAATTACAGTGTAACCCGGATATAAGAGTTGTCGGGACCGGAGAAGAAGTCTCTTATATCCGAGTTTGGTCTATTTTGTTTAGGTAAGTATGGGAACATTTTGGGACCAGGGAAAATCTCTCTTATATCTGGGTTTCTCTTATATCCGGGTCTCTTATATCCGGGTTACACTGTACGAAATAAGTTACTGCACAAAGACATTAATCGTGTTTGACAGTGTAATCTATTAAAAAAATTAATATTCTGTTTATTTTGACAGGTGTCGTTGGGGTGTGGGGGCAAAGTTTAATAAATTTTTATCAGCAAATATTGTTAAAAAATATTTGTTGCTATTTTTTTTTTTTTTACGAGCGGACAAGTTAACTTCCGTATTGCCTTATTAACAAATAAAACTCATCTGAACGTTTTCAAGATAACTATAAACTAAATATAAAGCAATATCTCCAAAATCATTATTAATGTCTTTAAACTCTTGTGCACATCGTTGGCTATTAGACTAAGATAAATGCTTCACGTGTCTATCACGTTCTCGCGTGAAGTGGGAAGACATTTTGGTAGTATTTTAACATGCTTGTTGATCTGAGTCGTGGTATTTTAATATTGTATTCCTTGCCGCGATTTCATCTTCGTTCTTTTTTTTCTCTTCATTTCAGTCTTTCACCATGTTTTGTCCATTATATTCCCCCCCTTGCAATAGCCATTACCACATCCACTTGACCGGTACAGATCTTTTTAAAAAAGTGCTTCTTCGCTCGACTGTTATAGTCTCTTTTCAGATTTTTTTTATTCGTTCGTTCATTTCCTTTCTTGCATTGAAACGGCCTCTTGATTGATAAATACAGTGAACGCGTCTTGTCTGTATAGTTTCTTCCCCTCTTTATTTATTTGTTTTATATATTTTAATAACTATTTAAAAAAATAGACCTAACCGCTATTGTTCGGAAACTTTCGGCACGTCCCGTCATTGGTTTAAACAAGGATACGAGCAACAAAAAAATGTGGAAGAACGAAGTAGAAAATGTTATAAGTGAGAGTTTCAAAATAAGACTACAGGCCAGGGGGAAAAAAAAAATCTCTGTAAAAATGTTGTGAATCGTAATATAAGGTTGGACGTGCTGCTATAAGAAGAGATAGCGAACCAGTGAAGAGGTTATTTGTAATTAAGGGGCCTGAGTTGGTGGCTTAAATGTGACCAGAAAAATTCCCATCACAGCAGCGACAATGAATACGCAAATAAGGGACAGCAAAGAAAAAAAGGAAGACAAGAGGAGGCGCTCTGGAGAAAGGAATGTGGAAACCAGAGCGATGTGTGTGGGAGGGGGGAGAGAAAGCATGAATAAAATTTGCGAGGTTTAAAAAGAAAATTAAGTGAAGCAGGAAGAAAGTTTTTTTTTTTGTTTTTTTTTACGAAGAAGACATAAAATAATTCTTATGGAAATGACTGTGGCACCTTAAGTGGTCCTGGAAAAAATAATTGTGGTCAGTTAATTGTACCTGGAGAAAGGAATTGTCGAGAATGTTCTGAAGAAAATTCGTTCATCATACGCAACGTAATAGATAAGACGAATTAAGAAAGAATAGAAAAAGTATAAGATACTCTCTCTCTCTCTATATATATATATATAGTGAAATAGAGAGTGGGGAATGGACTCTTGTATGTTGGTCACGTTTAAGCAATGAAACGAATGAATGAAAAAGGAATGAAAAGAATAAAAGCGTTGAAGAAGATGACGTAGAAAGGAGAATCAGAGAAAATGAATCAGTGAAGGAGTAAAGAAATCAAAGATCAGTTTGAAGGAGAATTTGAAAGAGAGAGAAAAATGTAAACAGCAATTACAAAGTAAAAAAAAAAAGAGAAATGGAAGCAAAGGAAAAAAGAAAAAGAACGATAAAAACGAAAGTAAAAGAGAGAAAGAAAATGAAGCAAAGAAACAAAACGAAAAACGCAACAAACAACACGAAGGAGAGAAAAAAAAGAAAGAAGCAAACAACACGAAGGAAGGAAGAAAGAAATACAAACAATGCAAAGGGTAAAAACTAAACAAGAAAGAAAGGAATGAGAATAGATAGATAGATAGATAGATAGATATAGATAAAAAGGAATGAGAATAGATAGATAGATAGATAGAAAGGAATGAGAATAGATAGATAGAAAAGAATGAGAATAGATAGATAGATAGATAGATAGATAGATAGATAGAAAGGAATGAGAATAGATAGAAAGGAATGAGAATAGATAGATAGAAAGGAATGAGAATAGATAGATAGAAAGGAAGAAAGGAATGAGAATAGATAGAAAGAAAGGAATGAGAATAGATAGATAGATAGAAAGAAAGGAATGAGAATAGATAGATAGATAGATAGAAAGGAATGAGAATAGATAGAAAGAAAGGAAGGAATGAGGATAGATAGATAGATAGATAGAAAGAAAGGAAGGAATGAGGATAGATAGATAGATAGATAGATAGAAAGAAAGGAATGAGGATAGATAGATAGATAGATAGAAAGGAATGAGAATATATAGATAGATAGAAAGAAAGGAATGAGGATAGATAGATAGATAGATAGAAAGGAATGAGAATAGATAGATAGATAGATAGATAGAAAGAAAGGAAGGAATGAGGATAGATAGATAGATAGATAGAAAGAACGGAGATAAACAAAAGAAACAGACACGCAAACAAAGAGGGAAATAAACAAAAGAAACACAAACAAGATCGAAAATGAAACAAATAAATAAAAGAAAGAAAGAAAGACTGAAGCTAAAAATAAACAAAAAAAATCAAAGAAAGAAAGGAATAATATGAAGGAAAGAAACAAAAGAGGAAAGACCAAAAAAAAAAAAAAAAGCCAAAGAGAGAAACAAATGAAATAAAGAAAGAAATAAAGAGACATATAAAATACATAAACTAACAAACAAAATGAAAAATTAAGACGAAATTAAAGAAAGAAATAAAGAGAAAAATTATGAAAAAGAAAGATGAACATAGCAAACTACTATCCTCTAGTAACATAGAAATTGAGAAAAATGAATGATTTGGAAAAGAGAAAGAGTGTGAATAACAAGAACCATAAATGTGGAAATTTTGGTGAATGAAAGATTCAAGAGATTTACGCGAAAGTGGATCAAGTCTTTTAGGTCGCATCGAGCAGAACTTTCTTCCGGAAGAGGGCGACACCCACTTGAACGTGGATAATGCGAAAATGCCATTTACTCTTTTGGAACACACCGTTCTAATATATGCGCTAATGACGATTAAAAGCCAGCTTTTTTTTTTTTTTTGAGAAGATCCACTCTATTGCAGGACAGCCACAAGTTGAAAGAAAACGTAGTCATGTCTTCTTTTTTTATCAATGCAGGCACGCCATGCCATTATCTATTTTTTAAAACCCATCTCGAAATTGTATTCTTTCATTGAACACATTCTTCATTCGAATCTTGAAAAAAAAATCCCGATTCAAGAAACCCTTTTGTCGAGTCTGGCAGTATTAAAGATTTTTTTTATAAAACTAAGTTTTACCCATTAAGCTTTCTGAGATTTTATTTTTTTTCTCTAAACTGTTTCTTATTTCCCGCTCTTGTCTTGGTTGACCTTACCTCTAAAGCCAATGTCTGTCTTCACGAAAAACAAAATGACTTGTCGTATTCAACTTTTGACGTTGGATCAATTCCAAATCGTCTTGGCGTATGGCTACATCAAGTTGAAACAACGATTCCCGTACGATCACCGAAATTAAGCAACGTCGAACCTGGTCAGTACCTAGATGGGAATACCAGGTGCTGTAAGCTTCAATGTGGGGGTGGTGTAATGGATGACTGCGAGAAATTGTTAATCGGAGAGCTGAGTTCAAATTCCAGTTGTGTCCCTTATATTCACTTACGCGCAAATACCCAGTTATTGGTTATTTAGTTAGACTATGACACGAAATCATTAACATCTAAAAAAAAAAAATGAAGAAGAAAGGGAAAAAATCATTACAACCTAAAAATATTTTCTGATTTTAAATAACCTGCAATGGTTGATAAGCCATAGATAACAAGTCTATCAAACTTTCAAATAATAATAATAAAGCTACTACTACTACTACTACTGCTGCTGCTGCTACTACTACTACAAAAAAAACAACAACTTTCACATAATGATCATCTCCACCCCACCCCACCCCACTCCCAAAAAATGAAATTGCGTATAAAATATTTAGATTTCGACATTAAATAACCTCTAGAGGCTTTGATATGCCGCTAACTAAAAACGACCAACAACTAAACTGTCTTCACAGATTCTCTTTGAGTTGGCAGCAAGGCCTGTGACCGAAAAGCTTTGAGAAACGTGAAACCATTCCTTAACTGCCATTGTTCCCAGGTCCAGCCCGACGCGGGGCGGCAGCGCTTTTTCGGGCCCCAAATAAATAACCCCCAAACTGAGGTCAAAACACTATGATAGTATAAAAATACATTTTATACTAAAAATTACCAGCAATATATTTTTATAGTAAAATATTATAAACAATACTCTTTTGTAAAAATGAAGAATTGCAAGCAATATATGAAAAAAATACCAGCAATACATTTTGTAAAAGAAATTACTAATGCTCCCATAAAAATTAAATTTCGAGATTAAATGACCCATAAGGAGTTGATATGCCGCTTAACAAACAAACAAGCCACGTCATATTTATTTCACGTGTAGTGGGGTTGAACTTCATACGTTTAAGTCAGATCTCTAGAATTAGTGATACTTATCCTTAAGATTGAATATTAAAACGATCATTTCTATGAATACATCATAAGATGGTAATTTTAAAGCTCAATCTTAAACCAGCTTGTTTAATATATTCGTCACTAATAAATATCTAGAAATTTCAGAGATGTTGTTATGGCCAAGAAGCAGACATCTAATACACCAATTTCAAGAACAATAGTCTTGTGAGTTAAGTCGTCGGTTAGAGAATTTCGTGCATAGCAATTCTGAGTTCAATACCAGGGCCGACTAACACAGATTCATTGGAAATATGGCGGGCAATAGTGAGCAATAAATACAATGTAACCCGGATATAAGAGACCCGGATATAAGATAAACCCGGATATAAGAGAGATTTTCTCTGGTCCCAAATTAGAGCCTGTGTTAATGTATATAAATTAGACCAAACCCGGATATAAGAGAAACCCGGATATAAGAGACTTCTTCTCCGGTCCCGACAACTCTCTTATATCCGGGTTACACTGTACTAAATGTTTGATTAAATCATTTTCTACGGCTTAACCTTTACCGGTTATTTAAAACCAGAAAATGATTTTATATTGTAAGATTTTTTTGAGGTGGAGAGATAATAATGATTTAACGTTAAGTCTTATTATTTAAGTCTTATTATTTAACCCATAGCCAGAGACGAGAAAAGGTGAATTCATACTTTTCCCAATGGTATTTGCGCGTAAGCGAATATAACAAACCCAACTGTTGTAGAGTAGTTTCACAGTGGAGGCTTGTATTTCACTAAGTCGGTTCTAAAATAGGTTCGACGTACAAAACGTTAGGAACTTGATATAATAGGTAATGACGCAGAGAAATCTAATGGTGGTCGCTGATACTTTAGTATTCGACTAACGGTCGTCAGGCATCGACTGACCAACTCACTTAGCGACAGAATATTTATTGTATCGAAAAATACAATTGTGGCACAAGGCCTGAAAAGGGAGGGGTTGAGGCTGGTCCTCACTAACTATCCTATACCTAGCTAATCCGATTCACAACCCATTCACTCATTACAATTTGCCCATTCACCACAAGAACTCATCCATCACCAAACAATCCTCTTTACACCATAATACCACATCCTCACAAGGGGGGGAGCTACAAAACCCCCCATGCAATAAAAATTTGATGATAATAAATATTAAGCGACTTAGCGACAGACTCGTTACTCTTACTACTCCTACTTATTATAGGTGGGAGAGTCTATTAACTATAGAATAGGCGTGTTCCACTATAACACCAACTGAAATTGGAACTTTACTGCCTGATTAACAATTCGGAACCATTATACCAGCCGTAATTCCAAGCTTACAGCACCGGAATACTAAAAGAATTATGAGATATCTCTAAAATGGGCAGCGAACAAGAATCCCTGTGATAAAATAATTAATACGGTATAAAAACAAAAGGCAAAGACTCACAAAATTACTTAGGCCAACAGAAGACACAGCTGGGGAGAGTTATGATCGCCTCCGTTCTAAAAGGACTTGGCTCATAAAAAAAGTAGAACCGTTAACTGAGGGGGAGAACTTGGAGAGGGGAATTAACAGGAGATAACTGATAACTGACATCCATTAGACGTGGAACCTGGAACTAGAACAGTCTGCCCGAGTGAGCGAAATAAAGGGTTCAGTTCGACATTCCAACCATCTGAAGAAGGCCGGAGCGTACAACGACCGAAACATTGTGATAAATACGGCAACAAAATGAGAACAATAGTCCGAATAATGTAAATAGCCAACCTTTGTTGTTGACGCTTGCTCAGGCAAATTTGTGTTTTTTTTTCAACCCCGACAGAGCCCACCTATGATTTACATTAGAACTAAACTGAATGAACCTTAGTTTCTGGGAGAGAAAGTTTAACCTAGTGCATCAGCAGTTTTAACACGCCCGGTACATTCATACCCTCGGTCACGAGGATTTGTGCTAGCGCAATCATCAACGCTTTCCGAACAATTTCGCCTACCAAGTTTCAGTCCCAAGGCTTGTATCAAGTCATGACAGTTCTCAGGTATTTTCCAACGGTGCTACAGGCTGAGAATCATTCCTCAGACGGATATTATCAAGGCGTCACCTCCTTAACAAATTGACCATAGTGAGATTCGAACTCAGCTCTCATGGTTGAATCGATAACGTTGTCAACACTCAGAAACATGCCTATTCCAGAAACATTGCAGCAATAAAAACAAAAAAAACACGTTTCACTTGATTTCCAAGCATAAGTCTTTTTTTTTTCAATAAATATCTTTAACAAATAAATAAATAACAGAATTATGTCTTAGCAGGTGGAAGACAACGTGCAGTGCTTCAAATTACTTACGTTAAACTTTGCAAAAAAAAATTTATCTTGTCAACCGAAATGTGACATTGTCTACTTAACATGCATAACAATGAAAATTTAGTTTTTTCTCTTTTTTTCTTTTAAAAAAACAAACTTTAACGCGCCTTTTTACAAAAACAATTTTTCATTTTTGCCTTTTTTGATGTCAATTCATACTGCATTTGCAACGTTTACTGATTGGATGAGACAGCACAAATACTTTCTCTTATTCTCTGACGAGCGAAAACAAAATATATAGTAAATTTAAGAGCGCAATTCAGAGGAAATTGAAGTCTGAAGAGGAAAGTCAATTATTATTATTATTATTATTATTATTATTATTATTATTATTATGAACACATGCAGCTGACAAAGATGACAGTAGAAAGTTTAAAAGTTTCAATTTGACACGCTTTCAGTGATTTGCAAATTCCACTAGTCTTTCTGTCCTCGCTGTTTTAATAGAATTATTTATTGGTTCGGCATATTTATTTAGTCAGGTTTTACGTTGTTTAAGGAGTGGTTGAAACAGAAAAAAATTCTTTATTATATATCTTTTGCTTATAATGAGTTTAATTAAAATGAATTCCGATTAAATATCAAAATTGTCGGGACCCGAGAAGAAGTCTCTTATATCCGGGTTTCTCTTATATCCGGGTTTGGTCTATTTTGTTTACATTAACACAGGCTCTAATTTGGGACCAGAGAAAATCTCTCTCATATCCGGGTTTCTCTTATATCCGGGTTTGGTCTATTTTGTTTACATTAACACAGGCTCTAATTTGGGACCAGAGAAAATCTCTCTCATATCCGGGTATCTCTTATATCCGGGTTTGGTCTATTTTGTTTACATTAACACAGGCTCTAATTTGGGACCAGAGAAAATCTCTCTTATATCCGGGTTTCTCTTATATCCGGGTTATCATTTTTATTCACATTGTAAATGAACCTCAGCTCTTTGGCCCAGAATTTGTTTTTTAAATCTATTAACTTTTTGTGTATAATAAGTGTAATTTTTATAATTGCTTGACTTTGTGTATGCATATGTGTGTGTGTGTGTGTAAATATTTCATCAAGCTTCAACATCAACCAAATGCGGTTTTATCAGTTACACCTATCAACAAGTGTCTTACATAT